TATGAAACGAATGAAAAGAGAGCATAATATGAAAGAAAAGAAAGCATAATATGATGAACACTTTTAAAGTTTCAAAAATGGACTAGGACGTATGATATGAAATGCATATATAGGTATGCATTATTCTTTGGTAATTATTGTGAACTAGTTTTACTTGCTGAGCAAAAGCTCACCCCGTTTATTCATGTTGTAGGAAGCACGGGTAAGACACCGGCTCCGTGAAACCTGTTTGCTGGGCATGCGGAAAAAGATGAAACAGTAGGATGTGAGCAAGTGGGTAATGAATGCAACACGTGTTTTGGAATCGCTGCTAAGCCTTATGTGTATAAAGTAAATATTGTTTTATAAATGTAGATGAGTTATGTAATGAAAGTAAAGTATACGAGACAATGAGGCTATGCATTGCAACCTTAAGTCACAAGGTATCTTTAATGTATCTAAAATGCTATAGCATTAATGGCATATGAATGGTAATGGTATGTGAATGATAGGTTAAATACATGACCACGAGTAAGGAGAACAAGTTCAAGGTTTTAAAAGAAATGTTGAAAGTGTTTTCAGGATAGTAATTTTTGATATTCAAGTTTTATAAAGATCACTGAAACGAAGTTTTATTCTGCTAAAGATTATTAGAATCAAATTTACTATTGAAAGAAAAAAAAAATTAGCCAGAATTTTTAAGAGGTTATAATTAAAAAGTAGCAATAGATAGGAAATGCTAAGTATGAACATAGAAATGATGACCGAAAGTTAAGAGTCGTCACAGGTACAATATGTGTATAAAGTAAATAGTAATTATGGATGTAAAATTATGTAAGTTATGTAATGAATGTAATGTTTGTGAGACAACAAAGTATGTTGAAGTACCCAGAAAGGTTACTATGATAATGGCTTATGAATGATGATGGTATGCGAAGAATAGATTGAATGTATGACCATGTCTGGGAACTGATTTTAGAAGTAATATTTTGACAAAGTATATATTGTCTATTCTACTATTGAAGGAAAAGAAAAAAAAAAGGTGAGCCTAAAAATTGGGAGTTATAGTTTAGGAAGGATAGAAGTTAAGAAATGAGTAACATATGAATGTAGTAATGATGACCAAAAGCAAGGGTCGTCCCAGTGGATATTAGAGCAAAGGTTCTGCTACCCACCCACATTCTACTGAGCATCCAATTCCACACTCCCCAAGTAAGTTATTAATTCTTTTGACTTTAGAATTTAGTGTGTGAATTTTATTCTTTTATAAGATATACGATATGGTTTGAATAAGATGAATTCGATCAATTCCACATGGATTGCATAAAAGAAGTAACAGGGGACCAAAAAGAAGAAGACTTCTGCATAGTCTACCTCTAATACGAGAAGCAGAACCTGTTCCTTTAGACGTACCCCTACAATCCAATAGAGTAGTTGATTCACCCCCGATTGATAGGGAAGTGCAGGTAGCTATTATTAGGCACCCAATAGGATCTAGGGTTGCTGTAAGAGCTGCTTTAGCACTTTATCAATTTAACCCACCTACGTATGATGGTCAAGCTCACCTAACTAGACTGGAAGATTGGCTACACAAAATTGAATATTTGTTAGTATCCTATGATATAGACGAGAGTGATTGGGTGATTCTAGCAGCCGGCCTATTAGAGTCCTAGAAAATTTTGGAAAGATGCGGTGGAAACAAGAAATGCACACGAGGTGCCATGGGAAAATTTTTGTAGTTTGCTATTAGTTCAATTTCTACCAAGAAAAATACCAGTACCACCCACCACGATAGCACCAGAGTTAGCCTCAACCACCGATTGGTGAGGCTGAATTTATGAGAATGGAAAAGTATATGCACAGGGTCGATAGATTTAAGAGGCGACCATATGGTACCGTAAGAAACTATGCTGAACGATTTTTCAGTGAGATCATAACTGACCGCAACATTGTATTAAAGGAACAAGATGCTTGGTTTATACTTTGGAGAGAGTTCGTAGAGGGACTAAAAAATATGATATTTCCTCAATGGGAAGCTACTTATACCCTTACCCAATTCATAGAGGAAGTAATGTAATTAGAAGAAACGTTAGCTAACAGAATAGAAGAACAAGAACAGCGTATCAATAAGCGACAAATAGAGTTTGAATGTAGGTAAAGGGAATACCGACGCAGATTCAGAACAGAAGTTAGAGATGAAGTTGTTCCATCTTTTCTACAACGGAGATAAACGAATGTGGATCCTTAAAACACTATATATTCGAGTGAGGAAGAAGATCCAGAGGAGGATTCTGTAGAGGCTAATAGGGAAGAAAATGAGAATTATGAAGATGTATAGTATAATGTAATGTTTTGATTATGATGTTGCTGTGTAACAATGTAAGAATGTATCACAGATGTATATGTTAATGATACTTGTGTTATATAAGTAACGAATGATGAATGGTTTGTCATAAGCGGATATATGTATGTGTATATGTATAGGTATACAAATAAATCAATGACAGTAAAATATGCGCTTACCTAAGGAATGCATTTTACAAACGAAAAGTGTGGTAAAGATACTACCACAAGTAATGAAAGTTGTATTATTTTAAAACAACTCTATGTTATGAAATGGTGTTAGGATTTATTTGGTAATATATATATATATATATACACACATATCTAGAAATCTAACCATGTTTGCTAACATTTCTCTTATGTAGACACACGGAAACATGGTTCATCCACGTAGACAATGTTTGGTTCAGGAAGTAGATCTTATAACTGTACCAAAATTGAAATTGAAAACATAAATCGGTAAAATGAACGAAACCTTAGTTTACACTAAATTATCATGTTAAAAGAAATATGATAAATTAATAAAAATTAGAACATGATGAAAATATGACTGTTAAATATTATTGTGTTGTAGCATCACAATGTTTTCTTAGCAGTCACTTGATCAATAATGTTTTGAGGAGAAAATTTAATTTGCTTAATATTCTCTTTTGAGAATGGCTAATTATTGAGTAAATACTATAGGACTTGATTGGAATAAAGTGACCAAAATTTCTCTAATATGTTTTGGGAAGTTGCTCTAATAGGTTCTGAAAAAATGAAATATTAAAAAATTTATATTTTTAGCCATCGAATCATTATTAAAATTTGTCTTTTCTCTATATTTTTTTCAATCTGATGTGATTTTTATCAGATGTGACAGACATAAATTAACTCTACCGGTAGGAAGGGTTATACCAGAAAAACTCTATATGTTTAGACCTAGACAAACTATCGAGAGGCCTAAATTTCTCTTTGAAACATGGAAGACCAAGATGACACTACCCTTTCTTTTTTGGATCCTTCTATGGACAGTATTCAGTTTTTGCCATTAGATCCCTTCAAAATCTTATCAAAATAAAAAAGTATACAAAGCAGATAATTTCTTAAACACATTTGATAGTTAAAAATATAAGAAAAGAAACCAAAAATACGGCTCAAGATGGTAAAAATATTATGTAGATCACTCAACTTAAAATAAACAATTGCCATATAATCATACAAAAAATGATGATAAACCATGTGCTTTTTTCAAAATAAAAAGCTAGTTACCGGTAGTTTATTTTTTCAAGCCTTATCTCAAATGTCACCTACTTTTAATCTATATGCAATTTTTTTTTTTATAATTATCTATATGCAATTTTACTTTGTGGCTTTTATTTTGACCACACAGATATATTACATAAATGGTAAAAAATATTCTTATTCCATGAAATCTATCACGTGAATCGATAATCCGGTGGATCCAATTTTGCTTATCTTTGATATGGGTATCAAGTCTTGCTCCCCAAAATATTCCATTTGTATATTTGGTAAATCACAAAAAATCAAGAATCCAAATATTTGAGCACAGTTTCACTACCCCGGTGAAAAGAGAAGCTGTTACGATAGCAACAAAATCTATTATTCGAGACTTATTATGTACTTAACGATAATCCGGTGGATCCAATTTTGCTTATCTTTGATATGGGTATCAAGTCTTGCTCCCCAAAATATTCCATTTGTATATTTGGTAAATCACAAAAAATCAAGAATCCAAATATTTGAGCACAGTTTCACTACCCCGGTGAAAAGAGAAGCTGTTACGATAGCAACAAAATCTATTATTCGAGACTTATTATGTACTTAACGAGAAAAAGCTGGCTAGAATCAGAAACCAAACATGTAATATATATATATATTTGGTAAATCACAAAAAATCAAGAATCCAAATATTTGAGCACAGTTTCACTACCCCGGTGAAAAGAGAAGCTGTTACGATAGCAACAAAATCTATTATTCGAGACTTATTATGTACTTAACGAGAAAAAGCTGGCTAGAATCAGAAAACATGTAA